GTAGGAGAACAGGTGCTCTGGGTCTTGGAGCCACAGACCTGCACAGAACAAGGATCATCGGAATCAGAAACACTCTTACTGCCGTTGTCGGTAAACGAGTTACAGATTAGGAATTTGCTCTGGTGTAATGGTGCACATAAGCAGGGAGTAAGAGAACTAAAGTGGTTGAAGTGAGTAGGGAAAACAAGTCAGAATACAAAACAAAGAATAAGAACAAAAATACAAGCGCGGCCGGCAGCGAAGCATCAGAGCCGATTAAACATTGTTCATTAGTCTAATGGCTGATGGGGAAAAACTGTTCTTGTGGCGGGAGGTTCTGGTCCGAATGGACCGCAGTCTTTTGCCTGAGGGGAGGGGCTGAAACAGGTTATAACTGGGGTGAGAAGGGTCAGCTGTGATCATGAAGACATCATGAGGAGGCACAACCCTTAAAAAGAAAAACGGAATACCACACAAGGATAGATGAGGGAAAAAAACAATAACATCAATTATATTATGTCCACTATGCATTTCTGAATGCATGGTAATTATTTTACACGTGAAACGACAACCTCCCACCACCAGGTGGAGCTGCACAGGATGGAAATTTAGCCGGTACGGTGAAATTTGCTGTGTAAAATCTCCATTTTAATTAATTATTAACGCTGCCCAGTTGTTTTGGGAAGTGGGAATTCCCTGTTGGAAAGTGGGAGAGTTCAGGATTCAACTCATCAGTCAGTGAAACTGTCTTATTTTTACATTTAATAGTATTTGTTTTATTTATTTCACGTTTAATCAGTCGTAGTACTTTTCAGTGTTTATAAGAGGATGTGTTAAAACACTGTTTCTATGCAGGAAATACCAGGTAGAGCTCGGTTCTTAACAGCTGGTCCTTTGAGGGTTTTTCTAAAATACTCTTTAATCCTTACAGACCTTTAGCCAATGAAACTAACTACAAAATGCTCCTCTAGCTGTTTTTGTACCTTTTGACTTTTACAGCTTTTTGTTGCTCCTGAAGCAACTTTAGATACGTGTTGTCATAAAATTCAAAATAACTTTTCAGTTTCTCAGTTTAAACTTTAGATGTTTGTGTCCCATTAAACAGATGTTTGAGCTTCTCGTGTTCATTTTGCACCTTTCCTGACCGTATCACACACACATCGCATGTTGTCAGATTATCAGAGCAGAAATTAGGAGGCAGGGAACTAAAGATGACAAATGTTCAGAATTCAGAACAGATTTTTTTTTTAGCCAAAAGCAGAAAAAATGAGAATTCGGAGCGGTAAAAGGAGGACTGAGTTCCAAAGCTTCAAAGTTTCTACATCTCAAAACGACAAACTTTGATCTCCTGTCAGAAGAGTCGGGCTTTTCAAACCACACAGAGTATTTATGTGAATATAAGAGCTTAAATGGACACACATTTTCCTTTTTGTCATGCTTTGTTTGGATTTTTTCATTATTGACATATTCTGTTAATATTTGCCAGTTTACTTGGGTTAATGTTGGTTTTATTAGTGTTGTTGCTTCAGCTTTGCTCCTGTCTTCAGTTAGTTCGGTTCTGTTTCTGTGTTTTAGCTCTTGTCCCCGTCGGTCATGTTCTGGGTTTGAACTGCAGCTCGTGGTCCTACCTGGCCTCCGTCTGCTCCTCCGCTTCTCATTAGTTCTCTCACAACAGATTTTTATTACTTCACTGCGAAACTCTGACTTCCCCCAGTTTTTGTTTTTCTTAACTTGTGTTGCTTCACAGGTCAGCTGGGTTCAGCTTCTGCTCCAGATCCAGTAAATCAGAGATTAGTGTTGCTGCTTCCTGCCAGCTTCATGTTCTGGTCCATCTTCAGCCATGAAACCCAGACCCTGACCATCATCATCGTTTGAACCAACAAACCAGACGTTTGGTGAACATCTAACCACCTCTGATATGTTCTTCAGATTTTAAAGGGATCCTCGATTAGTTGTAACATTAGATTTATTTAATAAACATATATTTTAACTGTAAAATAAAGACTGTAAAAATACTGTAGGATGTTCAGTTTTTATCATTTTTAAACTAAAAGT